GAACCCTTGGGGATCAATCCCAATCCAGGATCAGTGTGGGGGCCCAGGGATGGATGGGAACCCTTGGGGATCAATCCCAATCCAGGCTTCAGAGTGTGATCCAGCAGGAGTGGGTCAGCCTTTGCCTGCAGCTGATCCCAGCACCTGCTCCTGGTGTGGGACACAGGGATGATCCTGGGCTTTGGAGACCCCTGATCTGCAGGGGTTCACTGGGTGGTGCTTGGGCAAGAGAGCCAAAGGGTCACCTCTGCCACCTCCTGTGACAATCTCAGGGTGGATGGAGCCATTCCCATGGGCTGTGCACCTTCCTGATGGCTGTGGCCATTCCCGAGGGGTGGGAGGCCTTCCCGGCCATTATGGATCTTCCCAAGGTTTTGTAGAACCACAGAATCATCCAGGTCAGAAAAGACCTCTAAGATCATCGAGTCCAGGAGCTGTGGAGCTTCCCAAGGGCTGTGGAGATTCCTAAAATCTGTGGAACTTCCCAAGGGCTGTGGGTCTTCCCAAGGGCCGTGGGTCTTCACAAAGGTTGTGGAACTTTCCAGTGGTTCTGGACCTTCCCAGGGCCCTGCACCTTCCCAGGGCTCTCACCTTCTCTAGCCCCACGTGCCCTCCCAAGGGACGTGCCTGGGTGGGAGGAACACATGAGGGTGGGATGGAGGCACAGAAGAAGCACCAAGGAGGGATTTTTGGGGACCTCCCAGCCCCGTATCGCTGACCCCCATCTCTTCCAGCGCCCGGCACCGCTCGATGCTGACACCCCCCAGTGTTCCACCCCAGGCCGTCCCCACGCCATGTCCCAGCGGATCCAGCACCGCCGTGCCGGGGTGTCCCCGGTGTCCCCAGCCCGTCCCCGGAGGCTCCGTGCCGCGCCATGAGCGGGGCCCTGCCGAGGGCCGGGGCAGCAGAGCTGAGGGATGGCCTCTCTGGACCTGCCCTACCGCTGCCCGCGCTGCGGCGAGCACAAACGCTTCCGCAGCCTGTCCTCGCTGCGCGCCCACCTGGAGTACAACCACACCTACGAGACCCTCTACGTGCTCTCCAAGACCAACAGCATCTGCGACGCCGCCGTCTTCCCGCTGGCCGCCGACGGGGCCCTGCTGGCCCCCGCCACCCGCCGGGACTACTTTGAGAGCACCTCCTTCCAGGGCAAGGACCAGCGCTTCTCCTGCGACCTGGTCCCCGCCGAGGAGCTGGAGCCGGCCCCGCCGTCGTCGCCCTCGCCCCGCTATGTGCACGAGATCGAGATCCCGCTGAGCGAGATCTTCACCCGCGGCAAGGCCGTGGCTCCCGCGCCCGCCCCGCCCGCCGCCATGGACGCGGCCTACGAGGAGGGCCTGGCCCGCCTCAAGATCCGCGCCTTCGAGAAGCTGGAGGTGGACAAGAGGCTGGAGAAGCTGACGGAGGAGGTGGAGCAGAAGATCGCCTCGCAGGTGGGCCGGCTCCAGGTGGAGCTGGACCGCAAGAGCTCGGAGCTGGAGAAGGCCAAGCAGGAGAGCCTGAGGCTGAGCCGCGAGAAGCAGGAGCTGGAGGACCGGGCGTCGGAGCTGTCCCGCCAGGTGGATGTCAGCGTGGAGATGCTGGCGTCCCTCAAGCAGGACCTGGTGCAGAAGGAGCAGGAGCTCACCAGGAAGCAGCAGTGAGTCCTTTGTCCCTGTCCCGGCCATGGCGTGGGAGGGAAGGGGTGCCTGGCAGGGAGTTCTGGAGAAGCTGTGGCTGTCCCATCCCTGCAGGGCTTCAAGGCTGGGTTGGATGGGGTTTGGAGCAGTGGGGAATAGTGGGAAGTGTCCCTGCCCATGGTAGGGGGTGGAATGGGATGGGCTTTGGGGGCTCTTCCCATCCAAACAATTCTACAAGTCCAAAGGAGCCCAATTCCACCAGCAAACCCTCAGGGCCAGGGCTCGGGCACAGCCCCTTGGTGATCATCATCCCTCACCAGGTTCTGCATCTTCTCCCACCCACCCAGTGTCCACACACAGCTGGGCCCCTCCACAGCTGGGTCATGACCAGCCAGACCTTGTCCCAGAGCCACCAGTGCTCCCAGGACATGGCCAGCCTGGGGATCACCGAGTCACAGACTGGTTTGGGTTGAAGGACCCCTAAATCCCACCTTGTTCCCACCCCCTGCCACGGCTGTGCCAAATTCCAGGTTTTTCTCCCAGAGGGCGTTGAAGCAGCCTGAGCAGCACCAGCTCCATTTGTGGCACTGCCACCCTCATTTCCATCCCGTGTTCCCCACCCCACACCCCCTGCCCATCCCAGTGCTGCTCCTGAGTGTCCCTCCAGCCCAGCTCGGGGTCATTCTGCCCACTGGTGTTGTCCAAGCAAAGCAGACCTCGCTCCTCAGGACTTTGAGCAGATCTGGAGGGGTCCAGCGAGGCAGTGAGGAGTTCATGGGGGACAGGAATGGCTGTGCTGGGCTGGGAACACTGCTGGGATTCCTGAAGGAATTGCTTTGATTCCCATCATCCTCTGCACATTTGTGAACGACTTTGACTCCAAAATAATGACCTGGCTCAGAAACAGCTCCCAGGGTGGGGGGATGTCCTGGGTGAGGAGCAGGGGGACCGTGGGGACACCTCCAGGTTTGGGGGCACGTGTGTGGGACAGGCAGTGAGGGGTTTGGGGGCTGCCCCATGGGGTGGGTGCTGTCCAGGAGCACCTTGGGGATATGTGGTGAGGGAATTAAGGACACCAGCGTGGATGAAGCTGGAGCAGGGCCTGGAGACAGCTAGACAGGGTAAATAGAGGGTCAGATGTCTCTTGGTGGAAGCTGGACAATGTTACCACCTAAAACCCTGGGTTCCTGCCCCAAGACTACCCCCTGCACCTCCCATTCCTCAGAGAAACCCTCCTGCCCCTCAACTGTCCCCGTCAGTCCCCGAACTCCTCCACCCCAAGGGACAAAATCCCTGCAGAGGTTGCAGGGAGAGCATGGGAAGCGCTGCTGGTGAGAGGAGTTTTTCCCCTGCACGTGGGGAAGTCATCAGAAATCATTTTAATGGGCAAAGCCTCCCCTGAAAACATTGTGGGGACATTTCCCAGCCCTTCCAGCTCCAAGACACCGTGAAGCCGTTGTCCTCCTGGGAGACCTTTGGCTCCTGGGCTCCATTTCCTTTTCCAGGAGTGTTTTTCCACCCAGTCCATGGGAATGAGAGAGATAACCACGATAACCATCAGCATCACCTTACAGCTGCTGCCCAGCTCCACATTTGCCTTCCAAATCCCCTGGGGCCCCTTCCAGGAGCCTTCCCAGAGCAGCCCCAGAGCTCCCAGGCTCTGCCTGCAAGCAGCAGGCTGGGGAGAAATTAATTGATAATTAATTGGTAATTAATTGGTAATTGATAGCCAGAAGTGGGAATTATGTCACTAAGAGCTGCCCCCTCCTTTTCCTTTGTGCTTCTGAGGAGATCATTGTGTCCAGGTGTCCAAGGTCAGGTGTGCACCATCGGGGTTGGTGTCCAGGTGTGCACGGTCAGGGCTCTGAGGTCAGGTGTGTGTGGTTGGGTTTCTGTGCTCAGGTTGGTGTGTCTGGGTGTGCTCAGGTGTGTGTGGTTGGGTTTCTGTGCTCACCTTGGTGTGTCTGGGTGTGTGTGCTCAGGTGTCCAAGGTCAGGTGTGCCCCAGACAGATGTGCAAAGCTGTGTTTGTGCATCTTCAGGGGTTCCTGGATGCTGAGGGGAGGTGTGAGCAGCTCTGTGTGTGTGTACCTGGTGCACACCTGGCTGATCATGGAGCACATTTGTGTGCAGGGGTTTGGTGCCCAGGTGTGTTTTGGGCCGTGTTTTGGCATCACTGGGGTGTCTGTGCCCGTGTCCCCAGGTGTTTCCCTGGTTTTTGGGGAGCAGATGAGTTTGTGCTGGGGTGGGGTCAGTTCAGGTCGCAGAGCTGCTGTCACACTGCACGCCAGGGCTGGCCACGTTTTGGGAAACAGCCCTTCAGCAGACTCAGAGCTCCCAAACACCTGCTAATTAATGTGTTAATGAGGGAGCCGGGGCCCTGCACCCACCGGGCTGAGCAGGGGTTAAGGATGTCACTGCCATCCTCCTCCCTCACCCTGTCACACCATCACCATCCTCTTCCCTCTGCTCCACCGTGCTCAGGAGCCTGATTCCAGTCCTGGGAGTGATGCACGAGGTGCTGGGGACGTCACCTCACCCCTAAAACGAGGTGGCAACATCCCCCTGCATGCTGGGATCATCCCCTCATCCCTGTCCTGCCCCAGCCTCTCTCAGGTGCCCTCTGGGCGGGCACAGGCCGAGGATGGGACAATCCAGGTGTGCTGGGATCATCTCCTCATCCCTGTCCTGCCCCAGCCTCTCTCAGGTGCCCCCTGGGCGGGCACAGGCCGAGGATGGGACAATCCAGGTGTGCTCGAGCAGCCCTGAGTGCGCTGCCAGCGGGCACAGGGGGGGATGGAGGATGAGCAGGGATGGGTGGGCGAGCCCTGGGCTGTGTCCCTGTGCCCAGGGAGGTGCTGCAGATCGACCAGTTCCTGAAGGAGACGGCGGCTCGCGAGGCCAACGCCAAGGTGAGGCTGCAGCATTTCATCGAGGAGCTGCTGGACCGCGCCGACCGCGCCGAGAAGCAGCTGCAGATCATCAGCAGCAGCTGCGGCACCACCCCCAACGGCAGCCTGGGACGCTGCGGCACCCCGGGCACCAAGGCCATGGCCCGAGCGGTACCTCTGCGGGCACAGGCACGGCCACGGCTGCGGGAACGCGCCCGGGGCTGCGGGAACGTGCCCGGAGATTTGGGAATGCACCCATGGCTTTGGGAACTCACCCGGGGATTCGGGAACGCACTCGGGGATTTGGGAATGTACCCATGGCTTTGGGAATGCGCCTGGGGCTTCGGGAACGTGGCCCGGGGATTCGGGAAAGTGCCCATGGGTTTGGGAACACGCCCCTGGGGATTTGGGAACGTGGCCCGGGGATTCGGGAAAGTGTCCATGGCTTTGGGAATGTGCCCGGGGATTTGGGAACGAACCTGGGGATTTGGGAACGTGCCTGGGGCTTCGGGAATGCACCGGGGGCTTAGGGAATGTACTTGGGGCTTCGGGAACGCGCTTGGGGATTCGGGAATGCACCCGCAGCTTCCATAATGCAATCCTGGCTTCAGAAATGCGCTCCTGGGTCTCCCGTGCCAGGGCCCGAGCGGGGCGGTGTAGGGACCCCATCTCCTTCCCATGGAATATTCCTGGGTGGGGGATCCCAAAGAAAAGTTGTTTCTCGGTGGGTCAGTGCTCCCGTGGCGCTGGGCGGTGCTGGAGATGCTGTTCTGCATCCCCACTGGGCCAGGGTGTCCCCCCAGAACGCAGCTGGCACCGGTGGGTTACGGGGTCCCCTCCCTCGGCTGCTCCGTGCACAGGCTGGGCTGTGCCACGTTGGCTCCTCTTGTCCCCTGTCCCCGCAGAGAGAGCGGCACCCGGGGCCGGCGGTGGCCGTGCACGGTCCCTACGGCGTGTCCAACCAGCGCTCCTCCTCCAGCACCGGGTGAGTGCCCATCCCTGCCCCCCTGTGGGATTTTAATGGGATGAGGGGAAGGGGACGGACACCCTGTCACGATCCCTGTTCATACAGACAGGAGCGGTGCTGGTTCGTCTCCATCTCAATGGGTGCAAAAGACAACAACAGGGGACAAGTCAGTTTGCTCAAAGCAGAAATGGACTCTTATTGAGTGCCAACAACTCGGTTTTGTGATAGAGGGAGAGTTAAAGGAAACAAAGTAAAGAGAGAGAAAGGGGGGAATGGGGAATAGCTACCGACAGACGAGATGGATGTCCTCGTGGTCTGGCCAAAGAGACTCCGGGGTCCTCGTGGTCCCAGCCAATAAACACATCTTCTGTGGGGAGATCTCGAAGTCTTCCCAGAGGGTCTCTTTCTTATAGTCCTTCTCCAAAGCAAGTGGAGTCTGGCCAGGAGCTGGGAGATTTATGGGCATTGTGAGGTGCTCGAGACAGAACAGGCAGCTGTAGGTGCAGAACCTGTTCAAAGGCTCTGTACCATGGACAGAACAGCGAGCACAGAACACCAGCAAACAGTCCCTGGGCCAGCATCCACCTGCACCAGGCCAGAACTCCTGCACAGAAGCGGCTGGGGGTCCTTGGCTGTGGTCACTGCCTGAAAAGAGAGAGAAAGGTCAGCAACACACACGGAGCTCTTTGGGGAAAAAGGCCAATTTTTTGTATGGACAACCCGTATTTAAAGTGTGTTAGTGCAGACAGGACAGGACAGGAGCTCATTGGACAATTGGGAAAAACATCCTTGGGACAGCACCCACGGGAAAGACACCAGGGGTTAATGTTGATGATGAATTCCACTCTGTTTGTCACCGTGTTCTCACCCTGGGAGACTCCTCCCTAACTGAAGCTGCAGTCAGCTTGTCAGCCTGGGAATGGAGCTGAGAGTCAGGAGAAATCCAGGCCTGGAGAGAATTCCCAAGCTGGAATTCCCCAGCTCTCTAAACGTGTGTGTGTCCACACTTGGGATAACCTCTATGCTCAGTGACAGCCGTGAGGCAAATGAGGGAACTCCAGACCAACTCTTCCACTGCCCATGTCCCCACAGAGCCTCGAGCCGGGCCAAGGCCGTGTCACAGAGCTCGGGCTGCTACGACAGCGACAGCGCCGAGCCGTGTCCCACGGACGACACGGCCGACGGCCACCCCTACAGCGCCCGGGGCTCGGGGCTGCGCCGCCAGGCCATCCACAACTGGCACCGCCGGCCCTACCGCAACAGCACCGAGGGCGAGGAGGGCGACGTGTCCGACGTGGGCTCCCGCACCACCGAGTCGGAGGCCGAGGGCTGGGAGCCGGAGGCACCGGGATCCGCCGCGCCCCGAGCGCCCGGCAGCTGCCGCCTGACGGGTGAGGGCGCGGCGGCACCTTCGGGGCTGCTCGGGTTCTTGTTTGGTTCAGTTATTTGTTGATAGAAAGTTGTTCATTGTAAAGGAACAGCGGTTTCGAAAAGCAGAGTCACAAGCGTTAAAGTTTATGCTAAAAGTTTTTGGTCTTGAGTTTGAAATACAAGTCAAGTCTCAGAAGTAGAAGCTGCTCCTGTTATGGAGTTTGAAATACAAGTAAAGTCTCAATTAGAAGCTGCTCCTCTTATAGAGTTCGAAATAGGAGTAAAGTCTCAATTAGAAGCTGCTTTTGTTATAGAGTTTGAAATAGGAGTAAAGTCTCAATTGGAAGTAGAAGCTGCTCCTGTTGAGGTCCTGGCAGGGCTGATGTTGCTGCTGCAGCTCCTGTCTTCTTCTGGGCAATGATGATGGCAGTGAGGAGAGAAGAAAAGCAAGACAGCGGGAAGAGCAACTTTTTCTTCAATACCTAAATTCCTACACACAAATTACCCAATAAGCTAAAAACACGAACTCGAACCATTTTTTCTTAACCTATTAGAATTCTAATTTCTTAGCACACCAGTTACGTATAAACTACACATATGGTCTGCCTTGTTCCATCTAAAAACTGTCAGCAATATTCTTACTATAGTTTTGTTTTGTGTAAGACTATGCTCCTGCAGCCTCCACGGAAACTTGTTTTCAACAAGCATAGTATTTAAGTATATACACATGGTATTTAAGACTATGTTTTTCAATTTTCATTACAATTTGTTGATTTCTCACTGAGGAACGTGGAGAGGCCTCTGCTTTCAGACTCCAGCACTCGGGAGGTGAAGGGTGGGGGAGCTGGGGGACAGGGACGGAGCTCCCCTTACCCGCTGTTCTCCCCCTGCACCAGTGGCCACCGACGCCGGGTGTCCCATGGCCAGGCCCGAGGGGGCTGGGGGCAAAGTGTGCCGGCTGGAGAGGGGCAGCCCAGGCCACTGCAGCGAGGTCATCAGCCCCGAGATCCTCAAGATGAGGGCGGCTCTCTTCTGCATCTTCACCTACCTGGACACCAAGACCCTGCTGCGCGCGGCCGAGGTGTGCAAGGACTGGAAGTTCGTGGCCCGACACCCGGCCGTGTGGACACGGGTGCTGCTGGAGAACGCCAGGGTCTCCTCCAAGGTACGGGCAGGGCTGGCACTGCCTGGGGCACGGCCTTTCCTCCAGAAGGGTCAAGCTGTGTCAGCACCTCCCTGGTGGCCGGCACGGTTGTGCCATTATGGTCGTGGGGGACACAGGTGAGCACTTGCTCCGGTGCTGGAGGTGTTGTAGGTGCTCAGGTGAATGCTGGAGGACAGGAGCTCACACCTGCACAGGTTTGCATGTGCTTTTGTGGTCACACCCATGATTTTGTGCTCACATCCATGATTTTGTGATCACACCCGTGAATTTGTGGTCACACCCATGAATTTGTGCTCACACCCATGAATTCGTGACACCTCGTATGTAGATCTTCACACCTTTCTGCCATGTGAGTGCACAGCCAGGGTGGGTGGTGTGGGACATTCTGGGGTGTCCCCATCAGTGACTGCCACCCCTGTGCCCCAGTTCCTGGCCATGCTGTCCCAGTGGTGCACCCAGATGCATTCCCTCACCCTCCAAAACCTGAAGCCACGCCAGCGGGGCAAGAAGGAGAGCAAGGAGGATTACATGAAGAGCACACGGTGAGTCCCTCTGTCCCCGTGTCCCCCCTCCAACAGCCCTGCTGCTCCTCAGAGCTGCTGCTGCCCCAGCATCCCTTTCCACGATGACTCCAGTGCACACCAGCTCCCGCTGTGGGGTTTGGGTGTCCTGGAGCCACGGACACCCACGGGACGTGTCACCCTGCTGGGGTGGCCACCGGGAGGGCGAGCAGGGGCTGCTGTGCCTGATGCTGGCTCGGTCCTGGCAGGGGCTGCCTGGAGGCAGGGCTGGAGTCGCTGCTCAAGGCCACGGGCAGTAATCTGCTGATCCTGCGCATCTCCCACTGCCCCAACGTGCTGACCGACCGCTCGCTCTGGCTGGCCAGCTGCTACTGCCGCGCCCTGCAGGCTGTCACCTACCGGTAAGGACAGCCACCAGCGCCTGCCACGGCACGGGGACAGGGCTGGGAGCACCCACGGGGAGTGCTGGGCTCATTTCCCGGCAGAGCACAGCTCACCTGTGCAGGTGCCAAGGACCTGCCTGTCCGTGGCCCCACCCCAGTGTCCCCAGTGCCAGGTGTCCCTGGCAGCCCCAGTGTCCCCAGTGCCAGCTGTCCCTGGCAGCCCCAGTGTCCCCAGTGCCAGGTGTCCCTGCAGCTCCTGTCCCCTTCCAGGCTGTTCCCATGCTGGTGTTTCACTTCCAGCTCCATTCCCATCATCCCATTACCAATCCAATCCTGGCTGGAGCATGACCGGGGTCTTGGCAAGGAGACACCACTTGGTGGTAGGGAAGAGTGAGGAGGAGGCGCCCAGGGAGATCCCACCTGGCTGTCACCCCTGATGGAGGACTCCAATGGGGAGGAACAGCTCAGGGTCCCTCTCTCCTGGAAGGAGGAACAGCTCTGCCACGGGAGAGCTGAGATTCAGCTTGGAGACCTTGCCTGAGGCTGAGGACAAAGATTTCTGATGACCCTGGAAAAGGTCACAGGTCCTGGAGGGCATCACTGGCCTCTCCTTAGTTTTGGCCAGGTGTGGAGACAGGATTGGCCTTCCCTCCACCCTCCAGGAGGATGATCCTCGCTCTGCTGCACCTGCAGACAACCACCCCAGCCTTGGTGTCCACCTGCCCCTCACGCAGCCAGGACAGACAATGCTCCAGGTGGGAAAGCACATCCAGAACCCCAGGAGCTCAGCCCCGGCTCTGACCCACACCAGGAGACAGGAGACAGCCCAGAGCTGCCGGGTTTAACTCCAGGGCTGCTCCCTTGGCTGTTCCCAGGGCAGCAGAGCAAGCCCAAGTGCTCCTGGCACGTCCTGAGCTGTGCCTGTGGCTCCCGCTCTGCTGAACCTGCTGCTCTTGGCTCCCTGCTCCAGCACAGATGTGAGAAGCTCTCAAGATAACACCCAGCCTTATTTTTAGGCTTGCCTGAAGTTCTGAACTGGGGCATTGAGACTTGGGAAGTGCTGCCTCAGTCCCTGGATGGCTCCTGGTGTGGTGGGACAGGAGGGGACTCTTTGGCCTGGTGGCATCTCTGGCACCTCTCCTTGGAGCTGGGCTCCACCCCAGCTCATGACAAAACCCCACCTGCCCCAATCCCTGCCCAGGTCCAGCACCATCCCAGGGGGCTCCTCCTGCACCAGGGAGGAGCCACAGCAAAGCCCTGCAGGGACATTTGGCCAGGAGCCACCTGCACATACCTGGCACAGCCACAGAGCAGGGACAGAGCAGCCCTTGCCCTGCCTGGGATGTCCTTCCACCCCCTGGCACTGTCCCCTGCCAGGCCAGGCAGGTGACAAGGGACATCAACCCAGTGTGACCTGCAGAGACAGGTTCTGTTTGCCCTGCAGGGACACATGCCTGGCAGTGCCAGCCAGTCCCTTGTCACCTTTGCATGAGAAAGATGCACCTCCAGCCTCATTTTCCACCTTCAACCTCCCCTCCAGCCCTGCCTCCCTCCTCACCTGCAGCCTCACCCTGTGCCACTGCTGACCTTGCACATCCATGGGCACCATTCCAGACAGGAACACCTCCAGCCTTCCTGCACAGGTCACTGTGCCTGCCTGCTCTGGGGACAGGTCCTGGGCTCTCCATAGTGACACATTGGTACCCCTGGGGACACATCCTGGGGGATGCAGGCCCAGCCCGGGGGTGGCACTGTTCCTGGTGGGGCCATCATGTGTCCCCTGTGTTGTTCCAGGAGCTCCACAGACCCCGTGGGCCATGAAGTGATCTGGGCCCTTGGAGCAGGCTGCAGGGACATCATCTCCCTCCAGGTCGCACCTCTGCATCCCTGGTAAGGCAAAGGGTGGGAAGGGACCCTAAAGCCCATCCAGTGCCACCCTGCCATGGCAGGGACACCTCCCCCTGTCCCAGGCTGCTCCAGCCCCAGTGTCCAGCCTGGCCTGGGCAGTGCCAGGGATGGAGTTGGGATGGAAGGAGGCCATGCTGAGTGTGAGGGCAGCACTGAGCTGGAAGGGAATTTGGGTGGCAGAACCTGATTTCCCTGGGGAGGGTCTCCATGGGATGAGCAGCAATCCTGGAGCCCAGTCCGTGAGAGCAGGAGCTCAGCCCCATCCCCTCCCTGTGCAAACCAGGAGCTGCTGGGTGTCTGCACCTCCCTGCTGAGCCGGGAATGTTCCAGGGAGGCTGCTCAGAGATGAAAGGGATCTGTGTCAGGTCTGGGAGGTGGCACTGAACATCAAAGGCTTGACTGAGCTCTCAGTGCTCAGCAGCAGCAGCCCTGGAGGGCCTGGATGTTTTGGGAAGGGTGTCACTGCTTGGGGGGTGTACTGCAGCTGCTCTCATTTTGGGGGAAATGCTGGTGGAGCCTCATCTCCTCCCCACGATGTCTGGGTGCTCAGGAGCTGGTGGCTCACACAGCAGGACACTCAGCTCTGTGCCCCAGGAAAGTGCCTGGCTATTGTCCATGGCAGTGGCAGTGCCCAGGGGTGTCACCCAGCAGGTCACCAGGGTGTCAGGGCTGGTGGCTCCTGTATGCCCTGAGGGAGCAGCCCGTGGCTCCCAGGGGCCAAGCCCTGCTGCTGCTTTGATCCGTGCAAGCAACCGAGTTCAGGTCCTGATTTGGGTCTCCAAGGTTGGAATCAGAGAATCCTGGATTGGTTTGGGTTGGAAGGAACCTTAAACACCACCCAGTGCCACCCTTGCCATGAGCAGGGACATCTCCCACTGTCCCAGGGTGCTCCAAGCCACTCCAGCCCAGCCTGGGACACTTCCAGGGGTGCAGAGGCAGCCACAGCTGCTCTGGTTTGGGGTCCTGGTTTGGGGTCCTGGGCTCAGCAGAGGCAGCCACAGCTGCTCTGGTTTGGGTTTGGGGTCCTGGTTTGGGGTCCTGGGCTCACAGAGCTGCCCTGTCCCAATGCAGGGTGGTGCTCACATGGGGACACCCCCAGGGTCACCCTCGGGCTGGTGGGCTGGGAGGGCTCCCAATGAATGCCCTGCCCTGCCAGGAGTGCCTGGGGGGGCTGAGTGGCACTGCCACCCCCAGCTCTTGTCCCTGCTGTCCCCAGCCAGCAGCCGACGCGCTTCAGCAACCGCTGCCTGCAGATGATCGGGCGCTGCTGGCCCCACCTGCGGGCACTCGGCGTGGGAGGGGCCGGCTGCGGTGTGCAGGGCCTGGCGTCGCTAGGTAGGCACTGATGGGGACCACGGGCTCACAGAACGGGGCACTGCGCTTGGAAAAGGTCTCTGGGATCACTGAGTGACCCTGTGCCCAATGCCCACCTTGTGCCCAGCCCAGCACTGGGAATCACGGGCTCACAGAATGGATCACTGGGCTTGGAAAAGGTCTCTGGGATCACTGAGTCCACCCTGTGCCCAGTGTCCCAGCCCAGAGCACTGAGTGCCACCTCCAGCCCTTCCTGGGACCCCTGCAGGGATGGGGACTCCAACCCTCCCCGGGCACCACGTCCCTCCTGCTCTGATGGGACAGGCAGAGGGTCCCTGCTGCCGGCAGGGAGATGCTCCATGGGGCTCTTCCTCGGGATCTCCACCCACCCCAAGGTCCATGGGTGCTCCCTGCCCCTCCTTGTGCCCCCATCCCTGCCAGCCCCCTTCCCCTGGCTGTGCTGACAGGGCTGTTCTGTCCCGCAGCCAGGAACTGCATGAGGCTGCAGGTGCTGGAGCTGGACCACGTGGCCGAGATCAACCAGGAGGTGGCTGCTGAGGTGTGCCGGGAGGGGCTCAAGGGGCTGGAGATGCTGGTGCTGACGTCCACCCCGGTGACCCCCAAAGCCCTGCTGCACTTCAACAGTGAGTAGCCCTGCCAGGGCCATCAGGAACTGCCCTGATGCCCAGATCCGTGGGCACGCTGCCCTCCCAGCCCCACCCACGGGAGCTGCTGGCACTGGGAGGTGCTGGGAGCTCCGGGGGGAAGGTGTCAAACAGGGGATCCGGCATCCCCCAAAAGGATGGGCCGAGGAGAGCTCATCTTGGGCCACAGGGAGGATGGAGATGCTCCCTCCATGGTGCCCCAGGGTAATCCAGGTCTCGGTGTTGGTGACACACCTGAGGTTTGTGACAGCCTGAGCGTGGTCACACCGTGTGCTGATGGATGGAGCAGGAGGTTCACAGGCTCAGGAGGGTCTGTCCTGGTGCTCACAGCTCGGGTGGCTGTGGCTGGACTTGCTGGGAGCCCAGCCCTGTGCATGGCAGAGTCAGGGATTCCCAGGGAAGTGGGACAGTTTGGGACAGGACAGCCAGGAACCATCCCACAGCCCGTGGGCCTCCCTGCACAGACCTGAGCCAGGTCTCCTCCATCTTCAGGGTGAGGATTCCCCACCCACTTGAGGAGCCCAGGGTGGGATCTGGGGTCTCTGCTGGCCGTGGGGAGGCTGCCTGTCCCCAGGTGTGGAGATGCAGGTGCTGTCTGTGCCCCAGGTGTGTGCCGGAACCTGAAATCCATCGTGGTGCAGGTGGGGATTGTGGATTACTTCAAGGAACCCCACAGTCCTGAAGCCAGGAAGATGTTTGAAGAAATGGTGAACAAACTCCAGGTAAAGGACCCCAGTCTCAGAAAACACGAGTGTCACCAACCCTGCGTCCTTCCCAGGGCAGGGATCAGAAATGTTCCCTCTTCTCCTTCCCCATGTCCTTCCCAGGGCAGGGATCAGAAATGTTCCCTCTTCTCCCTCCCTTGCCCCGTGTCCTTCCCATGGCAGGGATTCCCCCGTTCCTCCCTCATCCCCTTTCTTTCCCGTGGCAGGGATTTGAGGCATTTTCCCCTCTCCCTCCCTGTCCCCATTCCCTTCCCGTGGCAGGGATTTGAGGTGTTATCCCCTCTCCCTCCCTTGCCCCTTTATTCCCCAAGACAGGGATTTTAGGTGTTCTCCCCTCTCCCTTGCCCCTTTCTTTCCCGTGGCAGGGATTTGAGGAATTTTCCCCTCTCCCTCCCTGTCCCCATCATGGATCATTGGCACTGCTGCTCCCCTCCCAACCCCACTGCCTGCTCCTCTTCCAGGCCCTGAGGAAAAGACCTGGCTTCTCCAAGATCTTACACATCAAGGTGGAAGGAGGCTGTTAGCCCTTCAGGGAGCCCAAAGCACATTCCCTGCTCTGCCTGGCAGAGCTGAGGGCCCTGACACCAAACCCGGGGCTGGACAGGGACCCCGGCTCGTGCACAAGGAACCCCAAACTCTCGCAGCCTTCGGGGCCGTCCCGTGGGTGACAAGGTGCTACTCAAGGACACTTTTTGGCTGCCCCAAGAGCCAGGGCCGTGCTCTTTCCCAGGAGGGAAGATGGCTTTGAGCCCCTGCAGCTGCTCCTTGCTGAGGATCCGTGTTTGGGGGTGGCTTTTCCACCGAACTCTGTTTTGGGGGATCTTTCGAGGATGGCCCTGCCCATTCTGGGGGCTCCTGGCAGAGATCTGGGCTCGGCCACTGCAGCCCTGGGCTGTCCCTGGGTGATGGAGGGGGCTGGAAGGGGCTGCTCCTGCCCAGAGCCCAGCATTCCCGCGGGGTTCCTGCTCGTTTTCATTTTGGATTTGACAGAGGGGCACCCAAACCTGGGGAAACACTCCCAGGAACCAGCAGCACAAGGCAGAGCTGCACCTCGGGGGCTTTGGGAGCCACAGGACACCAGGAGAGATGGGAGCTCTTCCACAGGTCTCCAGCCTCACCTCCTCTCCACCACAACCCTCCTGCCAAGGCAATAAACCATCTCCAAAATCCTCATCCAGCAGGAAACTCGGCTCAGGCTCCTGTCCCCACCAGCCACAGCCAGACTCCATCCGGGGGCACTTGTCCCATGTGGACAGAGATGGCACAGGACAGCCACGTTTGCCATCCCACTGCCCTCCTGAGCAGCCTGAAGGAGGAACCCTGGCCAGGTTATCCTGAAATCATCCTGGGGAAAGCACCAAGCGACAGCCCTGGCTGACCTTATCTACAGCCACCATTTTCTAAACCTGATTTTTCTTCTGCCTGCAAGAGGACGTCATCATCCCCAAAATATCCTTTTTCCACAGGAGAAGGCATCCAGCAGGGTCAGCATCTCCATCCTCCACCCTGGGAGAAGGTGCCAGGAGGTGTCCCTGGAACTGGGGACACCCATCAGAGCCCTGCCAGCCCTGGGGACACCCCGGCCTCCCCCACAGCCCCAGCCCCGTGGCCTTGGACCAACGGGCTGAGCGGAGAGGAAGCCACTGGCAAAGTGGATTTGGGGCTTTTGCCTCTTCTCTGGAGCAGGTTTGGTGCCTGCTGGCTGTGAGGGGACCCCTCCCAGCGCTGTCCCCTCCCGGAGCCATTGGAGCATCCCCGCAGGAGGGACCGGGCTGCACATCCAGCACCACATCCCTCATCTCTGCCACAGGAGCTGCTGACCTCAGCTGGGGCTGCCACACAGCCCGTGGGGATCCCCAGAGGAAGGAAAATCACCCCCAAATGAGGCTGGTGGGGCTCTGGAGGCAGCTCCTGCATCATCTCCAGCCCCACCTCGAGACCTTTCCCCCACCTCCATCCCACCTGCTCCGTCTGCTCTGGAACAGGGTCAGGCTTTCGTGGCCACAGCCCCCGAGGGAAGCACCTCTGCTGCCCCTCCCACGCAGCTTTCCAGGGGAAGGCCGTCCCTGAATGCACAAAACGTGGGAGCCCCAAAATGCCTGCGAGAAACTCCTGCACCCCAGCACGGGTGAGCTCCCCAGCACCGGGAGCAGCTCCCTGCCATGCCCAGCGTGGCTTTACCTCCACCCCGGGGAGGCTGGGACACTCCAAATCCAGGGGCAAGAGGAGCAAGGGATGCCCCGACCAGCAAAAAAACCACCCAGCAAAGCTGCACCCCCCGGGGACCACCCGGCCCCAGCCAGGAGCATGGCCCAGTGGAGATGTCACCACCACAGTGCAGGGACTTGGGAAATTCCCTTAAAAACAAAAACAAATCCCGTATTTATTTCTATAAAGAGAAGAAGGAAACGAGAAGATTTTAAAGGAAAATTATATACTCAGCATGTTTATACACTCTATGCTTAAAGACTCTCGTGGCCCAAGCCTGGCTCGGGGTTTGCCGGTGCCTGGAGCCTCTCCCGGCCCCTCGGGGCCCTGGGGAAGGTGGGGATGAGGTGATGGAAAGAGGGGAGGTGTTGAGGACTCTCAGAGAAGCCTTCTGTGGGCTCAGTGGCTGTGTGTGTGCTGCCCTTGGAGCGTGGGTGACTCTGTGCCATCCCCATCCCTCTGCTGCCAGCAGGGCTTTGGAAGATTCCCGAAAAATCCAGCTCAGCAAAGCCACCTTTCTACAAAAATCCTCCGATGACACAAGGCCTTGAGCAGGTTCAAGGATTAGAAGATGCAAAGTGGGGATTTCTCCCTGTTTTGCTTGGCCTTCAATGGATCCCTTCCTCCTCCTCCTCCTCCTCCTCCTCAGCTGGGGATGAAGGCGGCTGGCACAGTGACAGGAGTGGTGGGATGAGGGCCCTCCTGGTGGCTCCTAATTGCCCAGCTTGTTAACGAGCTCATTAAGGGCTCTGAGGTGTCAGATGGATCCTGTCCCTGCTGCTTTCCCTGTGGTGTGTGGCCCCATCCCCACGGGAGGCCCCTCCTGGCCCTGGATTCACTGCCTGGGTCGTGGCACCTCCACCCCATTTCCTCTGGGAGCGATGGAAAAACACAGAAACCCCAAATTTGCTGGGAGAGCCTTCAAACCACACAGCACGTTCAGCTCAGCCCCCTGTGAGAAGTGCCAGGGGGGCTCTGTGATGACAACCCCCAGGAAAATCACGGCTCCAGGGAGAGGATTGGGGGCATTGGGGTCACAGTGATGGCCAGAGCTGCCAGGAGCTGCACGGACAGCAGTTCTGAGCCTGGCTCCTGCACGACCAGTTCTGGGGAGATTTATTCCTTTTTTAATGCATTTTCCCAAAGTTTCCCCATGGCTGACATTCCCAGCATTGCCCTTCACCTGAGTTTGGGTGTGGTCAGGGATTTCAAGAGGAACAACATCACCAAAGCCCAAAGCTGTTTCAAATCCATGTTTTTGTGTGTCCCTGGTGTTGGATTTCACTCGTTACCTGTCACTCCAAGCCCCAGGAATGCTCTGGGATCAGCTCCTGCCTTGGGGCTCCGGGGTGTCGGGGATTGAGGGAAATGGGAGCCCCCAGGCTGGCTCTGCCCAAAATTGTTCTTGAAATCTGAGGATTTACAACCTTTGTCCCTCTTCTTGCCCTGTGTCCTGGTCCCTGCTGCCACCAAGGGCACAGCCATGGCAGGGGCTTGTCTGGGTCTTCCAAAAGAGCCTGGATTTAGGGAAAACAGAACAAAAAAAAAAACCCCAGGAGAAGTGTTGGAATGGCTCCTAAAGTGGTTAACAAACATTTTCCTGCAGCTTTTAGGGGAGGCCCCAGCCCAGGAGCTGGAATATTGCTTCAGCCTCATTTTGGGGTGAGAAACAGCAGATTGGGGTGGAGCAAAAACATTTGGGAATTGGTGCCAAATGAGAAAGTGCTTTAAAAGGGAAAAGTCCCAGGGAGCAGGGAGATTTTGGGAAGCAGAGACGGGTTGTTGTGACTGAAATATTGCAGGGTGTTGTGAGGTGGTGATGGACCTTCCCCATCAGCAGGAGGCAAAATAATCCCTGGGGAAGGTGGGAGAGCACTGAGGAAAAGCTGCTGCAGCAGCAAGGAGGGAAAACTGCCCAAAAGCAAGGAAAAAAAAAAAAAAAAAGGAATTTTCTATTGCAGCCTCGGGATTGAGCCCCGTGGAGGGGAACGAGGCAGGTTGGGGCCGGGGACAAGTGGGTGCAATGGTGTGGGGCAGTTTTTGGGAAGGGAAGGGGTGATGCACAGTTTGCTTCGAGATAATCAGAGGAGATAATCAGTGCAGAAAATAGAGATATATAAATCCAGGAACTGCAATCATTCCCTACAGCCCTGGACAGTGGTGGCTGAGGGGCCCTGTACAGCGACCTCCCCTCCCCAGGGCTTCCCGTGGCCTCCCAAGTTATTTTTTTAACTCTATATAAAATTTAGGTCTATTTTAGTCTTTCTGCAGCGATGTGCCAGTGTCTGGAGAACCAAACATCCCCTTTTTTTCCCCCCATCCCCTGGTCCCTTGATGCTAAACCGGGCCCTTGGTGCGAGATCTTGTCCTGGGAAGGGGGAGCAGCTGGAAATGGGGCAGGGGAGGATGTGGGGTGTGCTGGCAGCAGGGCCCAGCTCTGGCCAGGAGTCCGTGTTTTTAGCACTTTGGTTGGAACTCTCACCTGTAGACGCACTTTGATGTTGTTGCTTTGAAACTTTGGCAAGTGTAAACAATGTGTATTTCAAGAATTACAGAGAAACAACCCCCAGCCAAGCGTGTAAAGAGCTATTTTATGATTCAGTGTTGAATAAAGACTCTGGAGCTCCAGCTGGGTTTTCACTCTCCCGGGGGTCACACTGGACCCACACCAGTGACACCAGTTGTTGTTTGTGTTCTCCTGACTCCCTCTGCAGGTTTGGCCTCCACTGGTCTGGCATCACAGGGCACTGGGATAAACTGGGATACAGGGACCCAGTGGGATCAGGAAGTTTCCCAGAGAAGCTGTGGCTGCCCCTGGGTTCCTGGAAATGTCCCAGGCCAGGTTGGATGGGGTTTGGAGCACTCTGGGACAGTGGAAGGTGTCCCTGGATGATCTTTATGGTCCCTTCTAACCCAAGCCATCCCATGCTTCTGTATTTCTGTCACTATTTTTCCTCTTTTAACACCTGTACCCCAGCAGACCCAGGTGTCCCCATGTTCTCCCAGCACCATTTTCCTGTCAGAGTCCCCCCAAATGCCTGGATCCATCCTTGGAGCCCCTGGGAGCTGTCCTGAACCTGAACCTCCTTCCATGAAGCAAAATGGAAAATTAAAATGCCCCATTGAGCAAAAACCAATTAAAATGTCCCTGAGCAGTATCTGAGAGCTCCAAGCACACACACAGGTGAAACCCAGAAGCATTTCTGGGATGTGCCTGGAATCTGCACCTGCTTTGAAACAGAGCAAAATCCAGCCTGAAAGGTTCATTTTGAACTCCAGCCCTGAGCTCTCACCACGTGCAATGAAGCAAAGAACAGAGCAAAGCCCAGCCTGCCAAACTGGTTTATTGTGGAGCCTGGGTTCAGAGTGCCCAGCAGAACAAAACACAAACCAGTATAAATATACCCAAAAACCCCTCCTGAGGAGGGAGAGCTCCCCAGGGAATGCCCAGGGCAGGGCTGGGGCTGCCAGGGCCAGGAGCAGCCTCTGACCAAACCCAGCCTGGGCTGCACTAATTACTGCAAGGTTTAATTACAGAATGAACCCTATCAGTGGTTGTGGGACCAGGTATCATCAGGGGCAGCCTCTGACCAAACCCAGCCTGGGCCATATTAATTAATTATTGTTAATTATGGCAGGGTTTAATTTAAGAAGGACCCATCAATGTTGTGGTGCCGAGTGCCAGTACGAGCAGCCTGACCACACCCAGCCTGGGCTGTCACTAATTACCATGGGGTTTAATGAAGGAATGAGCCCCATCAGTGGTTGTGGGGCCAGGTATGAGCAGGAGCAGCCTCTGACTGAACTCAGCACTAATTATCATGGGGTTTAATTACAGAATGAGCCCCTATCAGTGGTTGTGGGGCTGGATGTGAGCAGGAGCAGCCTCTGACCAGCCCCAGCCTGGGGCTGTCACTAATTACCATGGGGTTTAATGAAGAAATGAGCCTCCATCAGTGGTTGTGGGGCTGGATGTGAGCAGGAGCAGCCTCTGACCAGCCCCAGCCCGAGCTGCACTAATTATGGCAGGGTTTAATTTAAGAAGGACCCATCAGCGTTTGTGGGGCCAGGCACGGACAGGAGCAGCCTCTGACTGAACTCAGCACTAATTACCACAAAGTTTAATTACAGAATGAGCCCCCATCAGTGGTTGTGGGGCCGGGCACGGGCGCGGCCCCGGGCAGGGGCAGCAGCTCCAGCTCCGTCCACGCTGGAGCGGGGGTTGCGGATGGTCTCGTCCACGGACACGATCAGACACGCGGCCTCCGAGGCGGCCGTCAGGGCATTGATCCGAACCACGGCCGGCTCCCACACGCACGCCGAGAAATTGTCAGCTATGTCCTCGT